TATTTATAATAAAATAGCACACTAACCTAATGGGCATTTTAACAATTACCCATTACAAGCTAACTTAGGGTACAAGCTAACTTAAACAATTGGGTTTACAAGCAAGGCCCAATTCAACATGCTAACAACCTTAGCAATATTGACTAATGGTTGTTAGAAAAGACTTCGACTACAACATGTGTTACTCGCGAACAGACTTCGACCATACTAGAGTTCGATCTAACATCTCACAAATCCTCACCTTGGATCTAACTCTATAATAGTTTGCACACATAATCTTCCTTCCCCCATTCGACATACCCTTCAGGTTGCCTCATTAGGATTGTTTCATCTAGATCACCATACAAGAACGCATTCTTCACATCCATCTGTTCCAATTCAAGGTCGAACTGGGCCCCCATGGCAAGCAACATTCGAATGGATCTGTACTTCATAACAGGAGAGAACACATCATTGAAGTCGATACCTTTTTTCTGAGTGAACCTCCTAGCAACCAATCTTGCCTTGTATCTCTTCGACGTCACTCCTTCGATTCCTTCTTTAATTTTGAAAATCCATTTACAGCTGACTAACCTGGCTCCAGCAGATTTCTTGATCAGTTCCTAGGTATTGTTATCATGAAGAGATTTCATCTCATCATCCATGGTCTTCATCCATCCAGTCTTCTTTCGACTCCTCATAACTTCCTTATAGTCTCTAGGTGCTTCATCTTCAAGCGCCACAGACCGAAGTTGTTCACTCCGGTGAACTTTTGAATATCATACTTTGTTGAAGGCATCTTCTCCACGTTCAGCGCACCAATTTGTTGTGAATCGGATACCTTTAAACAAAGTATAAACGGTTTCTTAGCAAGAAACACACAAGGGTTAGGGTTAATAAAGAAGAAAACAACAAGGATTGGTTATTAGACTGCTATTCTTTCCTTTCTATTAGAACAAGATTACAAGTATACAAGAATAACAAAATAACCTCTCTCTCTTGAAATTAGGATTTTATCTTCCTATTTTTCCTTATATCAAGATTGAGAAACTAACAACCTATTTATAATAAAATAGCACACTAACCTAATGGGCATTTTGACAATTACCCATTACAAGCAAACTTAGGGTACAAGCTAACTTAAACAATTGGGCTTACAAGCAAGGCCCAATTCAACATGCTAAAAACCCTAGCAATATTGACTAATGCTTGTTAGAACAGACTTCAACTACAACATGCGTTACTCGCGAATAGACTTTGACTACAACACGCGTTACTCGCGAACAGACTTCGATCATACTAGAGTTCGATCCAACATCTCACAAATCTCCACCTTGGATCTAACTCTATAATAGTTTGCACACATAATCTTCCTTCCCCCTTTCGACATACCCTTTAGGTTGCCTCATCAGGATTGTTTCATCTAGATCACCATACAAGAACGCAGTCTTCACATCCATCTGTTCCAGTTCAAGGTCGAACTGGGCCACCATGGCAAGCAACATTCGAATGGATATGTACTTCACAACAGGAGAGAACACATCATTGAAGTCAATACCTTCTTTCTGAGTGTACCTCCTAGCAACCAATCTTGCCTTGTATCTCTTCGACGTCACTCCTTTGATTCCTTCCTTAATTTTGAAAATCCATTTACAGCTGACTGACCTGCCTCCAGCAGATTTCTCGATTAGTTCCCAGGTGTTGTTATCATGAAGAGATTTCATCTCATCATCCATGGCCTTCAGCCATTCAGTCTTCTTTCGACTCCTCATAACTTCCTTATAGTCTCTAGGTTCTTCATCTTCAAGCGCCACAGAACGAAGTCGTTCACTCCGGTGAACTTTTCAATCTCATACTTTGTTGAAGGCATCTTCTCCATGTTCACCGCACCAATTTGTTGTGAATCGGATACCTTTAAACAAAGTATAAACGGTTTCTTAGCAAGAAACACACAAGGGTTAGGGTTAATAAAGAAGAAAACAACAAGGATTGATTATTAAACTGCTATTCTTTCCTTTCTCTTAGAAAAAGATTACAAGTATACAAGAATAACAAAATAACCTCTCTCTCTTGAAATTAGGATTTTATCTTCCTATTTTTCCTTATATCAAGATTGAGAAACTAACATCCTATTTATAATAAAATAGCACACTAACCTAATGGTCTTTTTAACAATTACCCATTACAAGCTTACTTAGGGTACAAGCTAACTTAAACAATTGGGCTTACAAGTAAGGCCCAATTCAACATGCTAACAACCCTATCAATATTGACTAATGCTTGTTAGAACAGACTTCGACTACAACATGCATTACTCGCATACAAACTTCGACCATACTAGAGTTCGATGCAACATCTCACATATGGTGATGGTACATATAGTTTTTGTTGCTATGAAAAAAAAGATAAGTATGAAGTTATTGTATAAACTTCATCCACCTTATATTTGTTCTTCATAGCATCAAAAACTAAATGAACTTAATATATCTGGATTTGTTACAGTTCCACGATTATTTTCAATAAGAGGTGCGTTATTGACTCAATGTATCTTGATTTGTTACAGTCCCACTTAGGGGTTTGTTTCAACTATAACCGAATTTGTTTTGAATACGAAATGTTTTATTTTATTTGAAATAGCTGAAGCTGTATAGTAAAGATGATACATGGTGATGATGATGGTGGTAGTAAGCGTATAGTATAAGTTGATAAGGTACATATGGTTTGTGTAGCAATGAAAAAAAAATACAAGATGTATGAAGTCATTGTGATATTGTATGCTGTTAGTGTTTTGTTGCTAAAATAATGTATGTTTTTTTATTGTGTTGCATGGATTTGTTGTGTTCTTGTATGTTGTTGACAAATGTTCTACAAAAAAGAACAAAACATTGTTGAGTCACAAGAATGAGGCTTCTTGTGACTTAGCAGTGTTTTGTTCTTTAAATTCTTATATAGGTTGGCAGTAGATGGAGTTTAGTTTATTATATACTATGTATATTGTTTGTTTCACGAACCTTTTAATAAAAATACAATCATTTAAATTGACATAGAAACTTATAATCTGAAAATTAAGATGTATTTGAAAACCAACCTATATGAATCAATGTTTTCCAAATTGCATGCATCTCATTCTGCATATTTTATGTTCTTTAACACATAATATATGGTTCAATGGTCTGTTTGCTTTAATACATCAATATATACAATTCTACTTTACCTTGTCGGCGTCGCTTATCATCGTGATTGTTATGATGATAAGTCATCATAGCAATCGCGATGATAAGCGACGTTGATGAGGTAAACTATAATAAAAGATATCGATGCATTGAAGGAATCCAACCATTGAACCATATATGTGTTAAAGAATATAAAATGTGCACGATGAGACACATGCAATTCATAATACAATGGTGTGTTTAAGTTGATTTTCAAGAATAATTTAATTTTCAGATTATATAGTTCTTTGCCAATTTTAATGGCTGTATTTCTTTAATGAGGTGTATGGTAAAACAAGCAATATACATTGGTATATAATAAAATATGCGTACGTTCCACAACGATTTTCTAGAATAATCGTGATCTAATGTAATTTATTTGCTGCTGCTGGGCTTCGAACCTAGTACCGTATATATCACAACGGTTGTTAAGCATAACCGTTGTGATATACCGCGCGCTTTCCAAAATACAACAACGGTCCCTGGACGTGATTATAAATAGCGCATTTACGACAACACTCTACATAACAACGTCTTGATCTGCGTGATTATATGTATTTTTCAACCGTTGTTAAATGGGTTTTCCGTAGTAGTGTAGTACAGAAGATTAGTCTTCATCATCGAAGAAACGATCGTTCAGCTGAGGAAGAAAAATGAATTTATCGTAAAAGGATATTGTACTCTTTTTCCTTCATTTGATTTTTTCCACCGAATTTTCTCTAGTAAGGTTTTAACGAGGCATATCATAAACGAACATCTTAAACAATTTCTTTCTTTATTTGTAATAATTTGTATTAATTAGTATAAAGACCCTCACCAAAAATGTTGTACTATTTTTTCTTCACTAAAATTTTTTACTAGTATGTTTTTAATGAGACATATTTTTGATGGACATATAAGAGAGAGTATTATAAATGATATGATTGTGGATGTCTATAAATAAGTGGATTTCATATTTATTTTTCATGTCTTATAAATATGACTCATATTATATTTAAAAAATACACCGATAATAAAAATAATACAATCTTATTCCCTCTTCTCTCTTTACTTATTTCGTTTATTTTTATAACAATATTCATATTATTTAAAGACCTTACTAGTCAATAAAACGCGTACCAACAACTTAGTCACTATTAAACTTTTGTCAGTTATGTTAATAGATGCCATTTTCATGCAAAAGTTTCTAATATGCATTTAATTAGATGTCCAAAAATTACATCTTTTGACGATTGCCTGCAATTTTATAACATCACAACATAAATTTTGACCTAAAAAATAACACTAAATGACAATATGGTATATAAGAAACAAAAACAATTGCATAGCAATTGCATTGGGTGTAACTCTGATCTGAATCCGTGAAAGGATTGATAAATGACTTGTGAAGAAAAGCTGTGTTGCTAGCATAATAGCTCCAACACAACTCGTCCCCCAGATACCTTGACATGCACGGCACGACATGCATCCTTCTTTGGACGTTTCATAAAACAACAACTTCCATGTTTAGGCAATGTACATAAACTTCAAATTATAAGCTAAGACCTCGAATATTCTTTTTCATTATACACAATATAATAGATACACTTAAATCTCTAATACATAAAAGTTAAATAAGTTTCTAGCCACAATGCATGGGGCCGTTTTCGAGAGCATGGAAAGTGGGTCATTGCTCAAGACTCAAAATTTATCACGGATAAAATCTTGTCACTGTTAAATCGTGGTTAAATATATTCTCAATTTATTTTGTTAAACTTACGGCTTTGGAAGTAAAAATATACTAAAACTGTATATAGAAAAGTTATAATATTATCTTCCTTCCCAAATGATATCTGAATCTGATGCTTGAATAACACTTGAGCCACTTGTAGATGCCTTTGAATTATAACTTTTAACTTCTCCAAAAGTAGGGTGATCTCTATATGGAACTGCACTTATTGCTTTTGACCACATTACATCTGATTTTAGTTTTCCAAGCAAACTCATTCGCATATTTTCTTCATCACAATCAATGTTGTCCATTTCTCCCTCCAGAGTTTTCACAACCTGCCTCATTGTTGGTCTAACACTAGGGTCTGAATTTGAACACAGCAAACCCAAATGAAGCAATCTTTCAGCTTCCTCAATAGGGTATCCTCCTTTGGCCTTCAACCTTTCATCAACAGCATTCTGCAATTGGTTAAGCATCATTAGAGACCTCACCCATTCAATTAGTCCTGGCTTATGCACTTCAATAGGTCTTCGCCCGCAAATTACTTCTAACAACAATATACCAAAGCCGAACACATCAGACATAGTCGACGCTCTTCCTGTTCGAATCAATTCCGGAGCAATATATCCTAATGTCCCTAGTACTTTTGTTGTGCTGGCCACTTGTCCATGATGCTCATGCATAAGAGCCAAACCAAAATCTCCTAATCTAGCATTCATGTCCTTGTCAAGTAGAACATTGCTTGCTTTGATATCTCTATGCAAGACCTTAACTTCCCAACCTTCATGCAGGTATAGAACCCCAGCAGCTACATTTTTCAAAACTTGAATCCTTTCTTCCCATGTCAGCATCTTTTCTTCTTCACACTCAAAGATCCATTTGTCTAAACTTCCATTGTGCATGAAGTCATAAACTAAAATCAAGCTTCCTTTTTTTTCTTTGCACCAACCTCTCAATGCTACTAAATTTCTGTGTTTCATTCTTCCTATGCTTGAAACCTCTGCCAAAAACTCTCTCATTCCACCTTCTCTTTCTTGAGGGATTCTCTTGACCGCAGCTTCGACTCCTTGCAAAATTCCTTTATATACCTTTCCATTCCCTCCTACAGCAATCACATTCTCTTCAGAGAACCCTCTTGTTGCTGCATGAATCTCTTGGAAACTGATTCTATGTGGCCAATATTCTAGCTCCCACTCTTCAATTTCTTCCTCTCCCTTCCCTCCCCTATATAGGATGAAGTAAAACACTACATAACCACAACCCACGATTAACAAACACACAACACCTGTGACTCCTACAGCTATAACTTTTGCTCGAGAAGACCATCCCTTATAAGGGTCAAATGAAGGCAAGTTGTCTGTCACTAAAGCATCACCAATTGAAAAATTTGTATTACTAAAGCTCCAAGCAAGAATCCTACTACTGTCGATTAATCGCCCAGTGGCAGCGCAGAATCCAACATAGGTTTCGTCCATAAGAACCCCAGAAAGGTTAACATTCACACTGATGAGAGGAACACGAGGCCTCTTTTGTCCTGCACGAGCCATTGTAACGTTTATCCGAGAGTGCATAAATTCAATCCAAACTTGATAATTTTCTCCACTTTTTATCTTCAACACCTTAAATTCATTGTCATCTTTTCCACTCCAGTAGCCAGCCTCATGTGAAGTTAAGGATTTAAGCGAGTTTATGTCAACACCAACATGATTGTCATTTATATCGTTGAATTCTTCTTCGTTTCTAACTATATCAAATTCAATTCCAAGGACATGGTTATTAGGATTACCTTCATTGGTGAGATTGAAAAGACCGTTATACTCGGCCGATGTTGTGCCATTTAGACCTCTTGAGGGTGTGAATATGAAGGCAAGGGCATGTCCTGCAATAAAGTTTTTGACGGGGGCAACCGAGAAAATGAAGGAGGTAGCAAAGGGGAGAAGATTGGAAGAGTTAGGAAGTCTGGTAGGTAATTTTTTCGGGTAAAAAGCGCGACCTATTGAGAAGAAACTTCCATTAGTGAGAGTGAGAATGGATTTGTTGATGGTTGCATTTCCATATAAGTTGATGTTTGTGGAGCTGAAGTTTGTATTATAGACAAACTCAGTAGTGGAAACACAACATAGAATCATGGTTACAGATTGAAGAAGAGTGATAAGGAGCTTAAGTTGAGGCATTGGTGATGAGAGAAACTTTTATTAAATTGAAATTGGTTTAAGGAACAGGAAAGTTTGAAAGCATTTTCTTCTTTGAAAAGTACTACATGCCAGCCCCCACAGGTCATTGCACGTCAACACATCAATTCAAACAAGTTTTGGCTATTTGCAATTATTTACTTTGTAGGAGAAGGACCATTATAAGTGAAAGCAAGCGTCCATAACGATATCTGTATGTTCAGATACCCTTTTTTCGTGACCGTTTTTGTGGTAAAGGACCGTTTTAAAAACTGTGGTCTTGGCAACTGCATTAGATATTATAAAATGTTATGTTATTAAGGTGACGTTTATTAGTGTGTGGTCTAGGATGTTCCATTTGTGACCGGGCATTCCTTAAACTAGAATGAAAGTATTATAATGAATGATTAAGATGTTTAATCAGTTATGTCCTTAGGACAAGTGTCCTATGTTTTTCCAGAGATAAGAAATTATGTATTTATATACACAAGAAAAAATATTGGAAGATTGATGTAAATGGAAGTTGATATAAATAGTATGAGATATGTGTATGGAAGTTGTTATAAAATATATATTTGAAAACTGAATCAAAATGTGTGTGTATGTGTATATATATATATATATATATATATATATATATATATATATATATATATATATATATATATATATATATATATATATATATATATATATATATATATATATATATATATATATATATATATATATATATATATATATATATATATATATATATATATATATATATATATATATATATATATATATATATATAAATATATATATATATATATATATATATATATATATATATATATATATATATATATATATATATATATATATATATATATATACATATATATATATATATACACATATATATATATATATATATATATATATATATATATATATATATATATATATATATATATATATATATATATATATATATATATATATATATATATACACATATATATATATATATATACACATATATATATATATATATACACATATATATATATATATATATATATATATATATATATATATATATATATATATATATATATATATATATATATATATATATATATATATATATATATATATTAGTGTTAAATACGATCGGGGTCCTTATAATATGTCAACATTCAATTTTAGTCTGTCTAAAATTTTTTTTTTAAACAATGGTTCTTGTAAAATTTTCTGTCTCTAAAATTGGTCTCTCCCGTTAGTTTTCATTGACGAAGGCTTATGTGGCATGCCATGTGAAATTTTTTGATGACGTGAAATACATGTGACAATATCAACGTGACAAAAAATCCTGACATGAATGTCATCCAAGATATCATCTAAACTTAAATTATAAATTGTTTGTTATTTTGAGTTGTTGGGAATGGAAAAAATTTGAAATATTATTTCCTTTGTGTTTATCTTCTTATTCAATTTAGTTCTAATTCATGATCTTAGTGTAAATCTAACAATTTGGTGCTTTCATCTCTTGTTCTCATGACTCCTACCAAACCCCCTAACCCTTCTGAAAGAGAAATTGTAGAAGAAGCTATCCAAACTTCTTACATTCACCTTGGCAATGCTATGACCAAATTCAACAACAAATGAATGAAATGTATGACAAGGTTAATGCAAATATGGAACAAAACATTGGACAAAACCACACTAAAATGGCTAATGACAAACATATCTCTGACTCTAGGTATGAATCCATCATGTTCACCCTCCACAAACATCTTACATTAAAGGAACAACATCAATATGTTATTATTCACTCAACAACAAGCTCTTCAGGTATTACTCAACACCTTTCATCTACATCCATGATTCCTACCCTTGTTATCCATATTACTTCCTCAACTAATACACCCTTAAGACAATCAACAACTTTTTCTACCACACCCCCATTAACCACTATAACAACCATGATGAGAAATATAGCTGCTCAGCCACCACCTCACTTCTCACCTTATATACCCAAACAACTTTTCCACACAATCAAAATTATACTATCCCCATTTTCCAGCAAAACCCTTACCCTCACATTCCCCATATGCCCCCATTATCATCATTCTGTCACGTAAACTTGCACTTGCTATGTTTGATGGTTCAAACCCACTAGAATGGTTATTCCAAGCTGAATAATTTTTTAATTTTTATAATCTGTCCCCCTAAAATAGATTATCATTAATTCCATTTTACATGAAAGATGAGGCATTGGGTTGGTTTAAATGAATACATCAGATGGTTCTGTTGTGGAATACCAAGCTAAGTTTTAAAAATTAGGCAATCAAGTTGTTAGCTTGCCTCCTGATGCCATTTTAAATTGTTTTATTTCAGGGCTGACACTCGAGATTCAAAATGAGATGGCTATTCATAAACCTACTTCAGTTTTCCAAGCTATTGGGCTTGCCAAACTTATTGAATCCAAACTCAAAGACTCAAAATCCAAATTCTCTAAACCTTTTACTAGCCAATACCTAAAACCTAACACCACTACCCCAAACCCCTCACGCTCAAATCTCCCCAGCGCTCCTAATTCACAAGGGGCTACTGTTGCACCCTAAAATTTGACCAACTGATTTTTCTATCTGACTCATGGTTTAATTTCATATTCACAGCTCAGATGTGTGATTTTTGTGCACAAGCAGGGGGATATCAGAGTTTACAGCTTGATTTTTGTCTATCAGATATGGCAGACCCAGTCCAGATTATCGGGGTTTTATTTTCGGGAAATTGTGCGCTCCTCGGTGATTTTTCAGTGATTTTGGGGATATTCTGATGCCCGGGGATCTCCGTTCGATTCGATCTGGTCTCGTGCGTTTTACAGGGGTCATTTGCATTCATCTGCATTTTTTAGGATTTAATAGGCTTTTTTGAATTTTTAACAGGCTTTATAGGATTTTTCTGGAATTTAAATAGGGCTTTTGAATATTTTAATAGCTTAATTTTCTTTTTAGAATTTTATAGGATATTTTTAATAGATTTTAATCATTTGTAGTTTTTTTATCATTTTTAGAATATTAGTGAATTTTCTTAGCATATGAAATAGAATGATAAAATTAGGATAAATAGGTTTAATTGTCTTTTAAATCATTTTTAGAATTTTAATAGAAAATTAGGATTAATTGATTTTTTAGAGTTTAATTAGGATTAATTGAATTTTTAGAATTGATTAGGTTTTAATGACTTTTTAGAGTTTTAATTAGGTTAATCATGTTTTAGATTTAATTAGATTGATTTAGAATTAATTAGGCTTTTAATAATTGATTAGATATAATTAGGTTAGTTAATTGTTTCTGTTTTTTAATTCAGTTTTAATTCAGTTTTTTTTATTCATTTTCGTGGGCCCAATTGGGAGGCCCAGTATGGCTTTTTTGTCCAGGAATTACTCAGCATGTCCAAAAAATAGTCCAAGTCTTCCACCAGCTTTCCAGCTTCTTCTAGAATACTCCAGAAAGCTCCAGCGAAAACTCAGCAATAAAAGCCAAGCAACACGTGTCCCCAGGAGGAGGACCCACCTTTCCGTTTCCCAGAGCGCCACGCGTAACCCCACTAACTCCTCTCTCTCTGCCACATGCTCCCACCATCTCCCTCCACCCTCAGCCACCACGTGTAAGCCCTAGAAGCTTCGCCGGAAATCGCCACCGGCCGCCTTGCATGTACTCCGGCCACCTGAACCAACTCCGGCGACCGTCCTCTACCGGAAAACTCACCAGAACTCCCTCCAAACCCAGATTCCGTTCATCTTCCTCCGATCTCCTCCCTTCCACCCTCATCACCTTCAACAAAGATTTCCAGAAACGCCTTGAACCTCCATACCTTCATCAAGATTTTCCAGAATAACGTCAAACTTGCATCAATGTTTTTCCAGAAACTAAACCTTCATCTTCATCCATAATCTCCAGAAATCACCTCCAACTAAAACCTTCATCGTCTCCATCAGTTTTTCCAGAATCTTCGAGCAAGATCTTCACTTCTCATCGCAAATGAGCTTCGATTATCATCAATAATCATCAAATCAACGCCCTCAAACACTTTTAAGTCTTCATCCGCGAACGACATTCGTAGATCTCCACCTTCGTTCGTCAATCCTTCAAGATCGTCGCGCTCTGAGATCAGCGATCTTCAACGAACGGATCAACGTGAAGTAGATCTTCACCAGCTTCAAGAACTCCCTCGATTCGTCCTTGCTTCATCTCCAGGTACACGTTCACGAAGATCTTTCGCCTTTTCTTCTGATTATTAGTGGGTTTAGGATTGTTAGGGTTTCGTTGGGTGAGAATTTGAGAGAAGAGGGTTTCAGAGAGGGATCTGGGTGAGGGTTCATGGTGGTTGTGTTTCGTTTGCTGGTGAGTTGTTTGAGAGGGTGAGAGTTTCTGAGTGAGAGGGAGAGAAGGGATGGAAAGGTGGAGCGGCGCAACGAGAAGGGGAATGTGAACAGTGGCGCAATTTTTGGGAGAAAGTAGGCTTTAATACTTAGGGTTTAGGATCTGAGTTGGGTTGGGCTTTGACCATGCTGAGACACACTCCCTTCGCTCATCTCACCCTTTTTTTTGTAAGAGGTGCTGAAAATAAAAACATAGAGATTGGGCTTTGGTTGATTGCTGCGCGCACCCCCCATCCCTGGGCCCAATCCTGAAATAACTAGGTTTATGCTGTTTGCACCCCCTCTGCTTTGTTTTTTATTTTAATTGTTTTTCATTGTTTTGTTCATACATAATAGAAAATTCATAAAAAATGGTAGAATTAGTCGAATAATTCCGTTCTTTTTTCTGTAGACTCGTAATTCAGTGTAGAATTTTATAGCATAAAAATATTAGCTTAATCATGCATTGTCATTTTAATTGCATTTTTTCACTGTTATGGCTGTTGAATAAATTGGTCTGTTGATATATCTGTGTTGCTGATTTTAATTCTTTCATCTGGTGTTGAATTTTGTTCTGATTTTTTAG